GAATTCAACTCTACCTTTATGTAAGATCATGATTAATATTCAAATATATGGTTTATAGCATGCTTTCATATTCACAAATTCAATGATACATACAAATAAATTCATTTTCACATTAAAACTCAATTAACAAACAACTATCCAAAATAGAGTTCCTCCAATTACCTCAAATTTTTTAGAAGTCAAAGGTTTACCCCTCAGTATATGCTTTTGAGCTGGTTTTCCAAGCCAAATATGGTGCTCAAATGATTAATTTAGTTCAAACTCAATTAATGTTATAGAAAATACATTTTCAACTCTCACATTTTCATATTTGAAGTACCCAATGCCTTTACTTCTCACATTTAGGCTCAACCTAATAGGCTCATTAAACTCTCACATTGTTATTAATGGCTCAACAACCTCCATAATTTTGGATTTAATGCTCATTTTCGGACATTAATGGTTCCTAACTACCATTAATATCTTAACTCTAAATTTCTAAATTTAAATACTTAAAACAACTCACATTAATTCTATTTGAATCAATGGATTCAAACCCATAGCTTATATAGATTGAAAATGACCTCCCATTATCAAATCCTAACTAACAACTTCAAGAAATGGGTAGGGAAGAAGAAGAAGAAGAAGTTAAAAAACTTACTCTTAGAGTTTGATAGCTTTTAAATGGCTCAAACCTTCTCAAAGTCAAAGCCCTAGCAGAGCAAAGGCAAGCTCCTTCATTTTCTCCTTCTTTCTTTTCTAATTTTTCTATTTGTTCATGTCTTATTTCTACAAAATGTGTATTGCGCACCACAACACCTATCCCTATACGCTGCAACATGTGGTACAAAGAAGGCTATTTTGTGTTCTGATGGCCCACGGGTTGCAGCATGTGGCACAGAGCTATTTCTCCTTATTTTTTTCACTTTTTCACGTGCGAGTAGCTCAACTCCACTCCAAATTCAATCCTTGGGTTGAAAATACAACTCAAAACAGTCATTAGCTTGCTCTATAACCACATACCATACAAATTTACTAAATTACCCTCATTTACTATCTAATTTAGGGTTAAATTTTCTTGAATGTTACAGTCATAGCATATGGCACAGAGGCAAACGTGCCGCGATGTATGTGAAATAATTAGTAATGTGCCTCTATTTTTCGATACACTATTTTATTGTTTTCAACTATTTTACAAATGTTGGACCTGTTAAAGATCACAAGCTTCCGCGTACACTTTCTACTCTGATTTTTGAATTAATGAAGATATGTTAAAGTGTTTTAAATTTTAAAAACTTGGGATCCTATTTTATAAAACTTACAAACTTGGTAATTCTTTTGGGTTAGTCTTTCGATTACCTTGATGTTGGAGCTAAGTGAAGATTAGTAAGGGAGACTTTACACAAGATACTCTACACATAAATCACAATGCATCATTAAGTCATCATCTACATGATCAAATGCAACTTTCTTATACTACTCCTTTTATTATCTAACTGAATCCATGGGCTACTAACTTATATAAGTCTAACCTATGTGACTGAGCTAGTCCTGCTCTCCAATTATAAAAGGGTTACTTGGCTAAAAGTTCTCATACTCACTCTCAAACTATAGATTCTCCTTACTCAAATTTCAAAGTATCATAAGTACCTGACCTATTCTATCCCCTCTAGGAATCAATAATACTGAGTATCATACCCCACCCATGCCATACCTATAGGTTATTGGCAATACTAAACACATTTAGTAATCAAATATGCTAGCCATTGTTCGCAAACTTAATGGAGGCCACACCACATGGATTTTATAATCATACCGTCTACTAATACTAGGGTGAATTCTCACCCATCCATAATCATGCAAGTCCATTAACATATGCATAAGCATACCTAAATCCATAAGTCAATATGTCAACTATTTACAACTCATGAACTTACATGTATATAATCATTACATAATTCATCATATACAATTTAATCTACTAATTATCATGACTATAAAATTAATCCATAAACATATCATGCTCAACAAATCCTTAATCTTATGACCATAAGGCACATATTCTCACCAAGTATAACCTTTACACTGATAGACAATTTCACATCTCATGTAACTGGTAAGGCAACAAAAATCATACTTGTGATTCCAACATCGTACCATATCCCTAATTTTAGCATAAGAATGCATTTTACAAACATAATAATATATCAAAAGTGAAATTCTTGGTTACCTCCACTCTTAGCTTACCACCTAAGAGTCAAATTTAGATTTTTCAAGGGAGCTTCTTGGAGCACAAGCTTTAAGCATAATTAGTCTACAGTAATAATTCAAAAATATTATTAATGATTAATCTTTGTTAGTTTAACTTTAATCATGATTAAGGCCTAATACTCTCATTAAATATGACTAAGCCTTATTAATTCCAACACACATTTCCATATATTTATTCAACTACCATTAAGCTTAAAGAACACGGGTAACAAACCTTTTTGGTTTAAACATACTTACTTAGTTTTAGGGTTAAGCTTAAACCCCTCTTTAATGGTATTAAAAGTTGTCAACTAGTCAAAACTCATGATAAGACACTAAAGTAACTCTCATTAGACTTTAATGATGCCATTACAATGCCTGGAACTTAACCTAAGGTTAGGACCTTTCTCTCACACCAAGAAAACTACCATGAAAAGGGGTAGAAAGAGATTAGTAAGAGAGCTTACATAAGGGCTTAGCAACCTAAAGAGGCCTCCAAAACTTGAGCACGACAAAATATAGTAGATCTCCCTACGCTCCCCTCTCAATTACACTCCAAAAATCTCATTCTGTTTTCTGTCTGAATGAAGTTTTATAAAGTTTAAATTTGATGTGATGGATGATACATTTCGAGAACCCTAACTTAAACATGCTCATCATAATCATTATTACACTTATATCATCATTATTTAACCTCACAACCTTAAATCCTTATCAAAATCTTCTAACAAAGCCTAAAATTTTGAATTTAAGCTACCTATTATCATAAAACACCATCATCACAACCTAAACTATACTTATTTATCCTCAAAACAACCTTATAATTCAAATCCAATGGCTGGCTATCCCTAAAAATGAAAACTCTAACTCATAACTCAACATAAACTAGCATAATGGGAGGTTTAAATGGTATAAGAGTGATTAAGGGTGTTACTTTAAGTGATTTTGAGCTAAAAAACATGCATTAAGGTTGCCATCCTCAAAACCCTAGCATAGCTATGAAAAATGGCACTCAAACGTCACCAAATCTCTCTTCTCTATTTATGTTTTGAACATAAACACTTATCAAAAATTTGCATCACTTGTCATGGCAGATGGTGTAAAGTGCCACACTTCACTTAGCTCATAATATTAGGCTAAACCTAGTCCAATACCAATTTTAGACCCCAACTAACTCTCATAACCTCAAACACAAATCAATTCCTTAATTAAACCTAAAAAATATATTTCTAATTTAAATCCTCAACAAATCCCTAATTTTCACAATTGAATCCTTAAATTAAAATTACAATGTTACGGAAAGTCTTCTATGCCAAAGTTGTTGCTTAATACATGATGTAGAGAAAGCCTCGTCCTTGATGAAGAATAATTCCATGTAGACAAGTGGTGGTTGTTGATCGATCTAGAAGGTGTGTCATTGCTAGTGATAGGGGTGGTCATTACCTAACGCTGTAGTGGCTAAGGGTAGATAATGGTGGCTAGTAAGTGAGGGGGTGATGATGGAAGAGGTAAGGGAGATGATGATGGGTGCAAAAGTAGGCATAAAAAATAATTTCATAAAATCCAACCAATTCCATAGCTAACTTAATGGAATTTGATTTTGGCTTTTTTATTTAAACTAGGATTCTTAGAAATTATGATTAAAGTATGGCAAACACTTCACCAGGATTCCTATACTAATTCAATTTGCAACTTTGGAATTCTTTAGTAAAACATAGCCTGGGTGTATCAAAAGGGAAATAAAGTTGTGGTGGAAGTGTCATTTGATCCCACCCTCGTTAATGACAAATCTATGTATGGTTGCCCCAACGTTTGTGTTTGGTGGTGTTGGCTATGATTTAGATTCAATATATCTTTTTTCTTTGCCCTTAACAAGAATAACAATCATGTTCCTCTTATATGAATAGAGCTAAGTAATATGTTAAAGCCATGGAATATAAAAAATGCATCGATAGGGGAGTATTTTGCCTTAGAAGGCAAGATTTGCACAAGCAATGGTGGATGAAATGGAAGTAAGCATATCGGCTTGAGTAACATAAATCAGTGAGAATCTAATGCCCTAAAAATTTAAAGGTTCCTCTACAAGGTTTATTCATGAAAGGCAAGTCAGGGCAATGCGTAGTTGATGGATAATGGGTAAATATTCCTATACTAATTCTAGTCTCTTTATCATCTCTATTTTTATTCTTATTGATTTGCTTGCTAAAAGAAGCATTAATCTTTAGTTCCTTGTAATATTCTCATTAGATCTGTAAAAATATTGGGCAAGAAACCTAATTTTCTACCAATATCTAATGTCCTAATATTTATTAGGAAGAATGACATTTAAGGCCTTTTCAATAGAATTTATCTTAATAAAGACCCGTAAGTTTTGTGTCGAATATTATCTTATAAAAACACTTATATATTGTTAAAAGTTAAACCCTAAATCTTAAATTTTAATAAAAATTATATAAGTTAAGATTCAACTTTTAATATAATATATATATATATATATATTTTATGAGATAATAATCAATGCATAACTGATTAGTCATTATTATGATAAATTTCTTCCAGGCAGCCTTAAATGTCATTTTCTCTATTTACTATCCATCCCATCATCACAAACGGTAGATGCTAAATAAGCAGACGACACATCTAGTTTCAGTTGGGCCCCACCGCAAAAGCCACTTGGGTTAACGACATGACACGTGGCGCCTTATCCAGTTGAACTTTTGCCGCTATTTTACCTGCTTCGTGTGTTTTCCGTTGAGTGTTTTCTTCGCGAGCGGCGTTGTAGTGCTTGTCCACTGTGGCAGAGAAATGGCTTCTTCGACGTCCGTGTGGTTCTCCTCCAAAGCACTGGCTCGACCTAATGCTCAGAATGCTCGCAGAAGCACTAACAAAAAACATTTCCGAAACCCTAACCTTAACCCTAAATTTAAAAAGCATATCGGCAGATACAGACCGCCGCCTGAGCCGGTGGTGCTGTCTGGCGGCGAAGCCACCACCTATACTCGTCTGCCTCCTAAGGATGACTACGAATTCTCCGCTCCTTCATTGGAAGTTAAGCTTTCTGAGTCAAGCCCTGCAACATTTGAGGAAGAAGCTGATGAGTTGCTGGACGAAGAGGAAGGAGATGAACTCATTGATGAAGAAGTTATTCGTGGTAATTTGGGAGGAAATTTCGAAGTCAATAATGATTCTGAGCACGAATATGTTGATGAAGAGGAACTACATGATGCTGGTGATGAAAAGTTGGGCGTTATGGATAGCACAACAGCGGGCATTTCTAGCGATGACCATGGGGCTGATTTCTCGGAGTTTCAAAATGGTGACTACTTCGCTTTATCCGACGATGGCAAGGACATTTTTGAGGGGGGAGTTATAAAGGAGAAGGGCGTGCCGGCTGTCATGCGATGTTTCGACCGAGCCAAAATATATGTGAAGGGAGGGGATGGCGGAAATGGAGTGGTAGCCTTCCGTCGCGAGAAGTACGTGCCGCTGGGTGGCCCTTCGGGTGGCGATGGAGGGAGAGGAGGAAATGTCTATATTGAAGTTGATGGGTCTATGAATTCACTTTTGCCGTTTCGGAATAGCGTGCATTTTCGGGCGGGGAGGGGAGGTCATGGACAGGGAAGGATGCAAAATGGGGCTAAAGGAGAAGATGTGGTAGTGAAGGTGGCTCCAGGAACAGTGATTAGAGAAGCAGGAAAAGATGAAGTGGTGTTGGAGGTGCTATATCCAGGGCAGAGAGCATTATTATTGCCAGGTGGCAGAGGTGGGAGAGGAAATGCGTCGTTTAAGTCCGGGACAAATAAGGTACCCAGGATTGCTGAGAATGGCGAGGAAGGTCCAGAGAAGTGAGTTCTCCTCCAGCCTACATTGTGTTTTCTTGCCCTCTGCTGTTTTGGCTCTCATTAAACTGTGTCTTATCTGATAGTCGTTGTCTGCATTCTGCTTCTGTTAATTCTGTTAGTGTGACTGTTTGGATCAAGCAAATGTTAGTCCATCAATTGCAGGCAAAATTAGAAGTCCTTCAATTGGGAAATATGCAATATGATTTGTGAACATATATACTTAAGGTTATATCTAAAATTGCTGCAAAAGAGAGTGTTGTCATTTATTTGGATGGAGTGAGAGACTTATATGTGGTGTGGGTGAGTTGGCTAGATTCACGTTAACGGTTCTCTTATGGCTATGGAGACTGGCTACTATCTTCCTGGTTCTTTTCACAAATCTTTGTATATGGAAAGGAGGCTTGACTTCATTCAAAAGTATTGTTGTTTGCGTCTGAAATGAAAATGTGTATATTTATGCTACAAAAAAATGTGTATAGTTGTCGGTGCTTGTTGTAATGATAACATGTATTTCTTTTTTTTCCTGCATCTCAACCCATGCCTAGATTCGTTAAGAATAATGGTTTTTTATTTTATTTTGGGTCAGATGGTTTGAATTAGAGCTGAAGCTGGTTGCAGATGTTGGTATAGTTGGTGTTCCAAATGCAGGGAAAAGTACACTTTTGAGTGTGATCAGTGCTGCAAAGCCAACTGTGGCAAATTACCCCTTTACAACACTGCTTCCTAATCTGGGCGTTGTTTCCTTTGACTATGATTCAACAATGGTTGTGGCAGACCTTCCCGGTCTACTTGAAGGAGCACACCGAGGTTTTGGATTAGGTCATGAGTTTCTAAGACACACTGAAAGGTGTTCTGCTCTGGTAAGCACGTGTGGTCATGATTACATGCGTGTTTCTTCTGCTTCTTGTGGTTCAACTGACATACCAGTCTTAAAGTATGCATATTTGGGTGGAACTATGTCCACCAATAGACAACCTGCATCCTTTCTCCCTTGAAACTGATGAATTGTAAAAATTTTCTGTTTTTTCTTTATGACACTTGTGAGATTGGTCTCTGCAGAATTTTCTTTTCTTAATGATACTTAATTGCTAAGACTGGGGCACTTCCAAGGATTTTATCAATGAGCTACAATAAATTGCATATTTGCTGTTCTTCCAAGGTTCGGTTGATCAATAGGTTAACTATTATGAAACCATGACAAGCTATGTAGAGTATTATTTATGATGGTTTTTCCTATATGAACTTTCGTCATTGGTGCTTGATAAGCCTATGTAGACTATTAAGCATTTCTAAAAGGATCCCACTTAAAGAAATCTAAGGTGTCCTTTAGGCATCGACATGGTATGAAGTTTTCCTTTTGGAAACACATACCAATACCTGATCACTTTTAAGATTAGATCATATGTTGGATATATATTTCCAAGTAACCATTAGCCAGCTTGAATGAATCCAGCCACATGGTCCAAAACGCATAAACCAAGTTAGTGATAATAGGTAATTTAAACCTTGTATTCCCGATGACACTCACTTACCCTTCCAAAATGAGACTTTAAGTTGTTATATTGATTTGTTTCCAAACTTAAAAATCAAAATGGTAAATGTTGAAATGAATTTTTTTCTTCCGTACTTTTGTCTTTCAAATTCTGACATATTTGGTATATTTCGGCTTCTTTTTCACATTTGCCCTTCTTTCTTCCATTCTATTTTCATTGCTTACCAATAAGCCTCTATTGTATTCTAGGTGCATGTTGTTGACGGCTCATCACTTCAGCCTGATCTAGAGTTTGATGCAGTTCGTCTAGAACTAGAACTATTCAGTCCGGAACTTGCTGAGAAACCTTATGTAGTTGCCTATAACAAAATGGATATTCCAGAAGCATGTGAGAAGTGGCCGTCCTTTAGGGAAAAACTACAATCTCGTGGTATCATACCTTTTGCCATGAGTTCTGTGAAAAGGGAAGGTACTCATGAAGTTATCTGTGCTGCTTATGAGCTTTTAAGCAGAAGTAAAGAGGCCAAGGAGGAATACCAAGGTTTGAATTTTATTCACTTTTATTCTAAAGATTCTTTTCCTATCTTCAGTTAATACCAGTTACTTAACTCGCCACACATATTCATGCATGTGAATAATTTCTATCTGTTTCAGATGGAAGAGATATAGTTAACTTAAACCACGTAGCCCAAGAAGTAGAAAAACGGCGAAGGGCACCCATTGGTGATTTTGAGGTTTTTCATGACAGCAGTACAAATATTTGGCATGTGGTTGGATCTGGATTGCAACGTTTTTCGCAGATGACAAATTGGCGGTAGGTTAAAGAGTATTCTATGTGAACAGCAGTGCAATTGGCTATTGTGACTAGCCTTCATTCTCCAATGTCTTATACTTCTTAAACATAATATAATTGTTAAGGTGTAACTTCTAATCTCATTAATGAAGTGTAGAAAAATATGTCTAAATTTATTATATATGTGTTCTCAAAACTGTATGACATGTGATTAAGCTGAAACATTATTACCCCACCCTTCCCTGGAGCTTCTTGCATGGATTTTCAAAGTCTTCAATTAATATGTCGTAAACAATAAGATTCAGGATCATAGGATCTGTGTTATGAAAATGTGAGGATGAGCTAGCATTTTTGATAGAGTATTATCATTCCCTGCACTTGTATTCTCTGTATGGCAATTTAATCCCCAAAGTGGAGGTAATGTTATTTTTCAATGTGAATTGAACCTTACTTATATGTGCTTTGGATGCGTCCCCTGTTTTCTTTTTCCTTAAAAATGACTTTTTTTTTTAAATGATGATGGTTATTGTTGTTATTGCTGTTGCTATTTTGCCAGAAATATCTTTTCTCCACTGAGAAACTCCATTTTGCAGAGAGCAAATAGAAAATGTCTGACACTATGTTTGAAAATAAATAAGAAAAATATTAACAAGTTATAGTTGCCATTACAAAGAGTGCATTTAAGTTGAAATGATACATAAAATTGCCTAAATGTTTTTGTTCTACATATTAAACATCGGTTGAATGTTTGCATATGTGCTTAATATCGTGAGTTGTGACAATATGAAGAAAGGAAACTCCACCAACTCTCTCATAGTTGATATTGTGAGTTGTGCATAGACAAACATTTATTACAAAATGTAATGTTCCTGAAATTCTAGTTCCTGTCCAGGGCTAACGGCTAACCTCATGATAACCGCCAAATGCATGTTTGACAGGTATATTGACTCAGAGAGAAGATTTCAACATGTCCTTGAGGCTTGTGGTGTGTACAAATCTCTCATGAAACATGGTGTAAGGGAAGGGGACACAGTGATTATTGGGGAGGTGTGTCCTTTGTTTCTCATCCTCTTTTTTGTATTGTAATTCTTACTAGCACAACCATCAAATGCATCAACATATTGTTTTTGTACTAACTGAAATTTAGTCATCATGGGTTGCTTTTTTATTCACAATGATTTCTTGGACGGAAGAACAGTTTCAGCGCCCATCATTTTATGTTCCCACAACTAACTTGGAAGCAATTTGTTCAAGGCAATAAAATGTTGCAGTTTTGTTTTCCCAAAAAACAAAAAAAATTGTAGTTTAAATTTTTTGTAGCTCTTGGAAAATATTTTGCATACTGGATACCAATGACCATGTGATTCTTTATGCTATTTGTCAGATTGAGATGGTTTGGCATGATTCTGATGGCAAGTCTAGCATATCAAGAATGAAGAGAAGACCCACAGACTCAGCTAAATGGGCCGAATGGAAGTAGTTCTGCTCTATTTGATGCTGCTTGAACAAGTGTACTGCAACTTTATAGCAGGTATGGATAACCATTATCTCATCATCGTTCTTGTATATCATCATGCAACTTGGTTATACTGTAATTTAGCATTCTAGTTACCCTGGTTCCTCTTGTTATTGAGGGGATAATATCTTTTCTGCTACATTTGTACATAACCAAAAATCCACCCATGTCTTGCATGAAAAGATGTGTTTGTAACAACATTATTTAGTTGGACCCACTAATTTAAAAAAAAAAAATGTTATGCTGCAAATCTTGTGGCCTAATACAAATAAAATATTTACAAGTCAAATAGATCGCATTGTCTTCTTACACAATTTATAATATATAATTGTATAGATATAGATTGACGCAGTAAAAGGCAAATGGACGGGTGGCAGCCTTTTCCTTGCTTCTGTGTCCCGTATTAATTTAACTTGGCGTCTCATCAATGCCCCCTTTTTTTAACTCAAAACTCAAGTACTGCATTTAGGTGTAAGGTGTAAGGTTCAGTAAAAACATGGTAGTTTTATGTTTTTCATAGCTTGATACGTGATGGGGTAGTCTAAAAATGTTTCTCCACGTGTCATGTGTTTATAGAGAATCTAATGGCAAACACTTCAGAAATTTTACCTCAGTTTGGTCCCTTTTTCTCAGGTGATAAAGCCAGATAATGTTTCTAGTTGGTAGGTTCTGCTAATTTAGGTCTTTATGGAATATTTAGATTGCCGATGGAGCAGGTATCATTGCGGCATGTTAATTGCTTGTGATCCGCAGTTTGTGCGGAGAGGCCTAGAAGCTATGGAAGATAATGAGATCATGGGAGATATCTGACTTATGAAGCAGAGCTTGATGGGCTGTTTGTCCCTTTGACCCAGCTTGACGCTTGGTTCAATCACCACTTCAAATGATTTATTGTTTAAAAGGAAGCTGACTTCTTTCTCAACAGCTCACTAGTGAGGTAGATGAGATACTATTGTATTTTGGATTAAATTGGTTGTAATTGATGATTTAATTTTTTGACTAGATACAGTGTGTCAAAGTCTGACATACACTGAAATAAATTACTATCACTCATTCATTTCCTGACAGCTGGAGCAAATGATTTGGTGAAACTAGGGTGAACCTTAAATATGAAGTTTCCCAAGAAGTCATCATAACAGTGACAAGACAGGATTGAGATGGAGCATTAGCACGTACTCTTCTAATCTTCTTTATAAATTATTTTTATTAATTTTATTAATATTAATATAAAAAAATATTTTTTTTAATCCTATTTATAAATTATTTTTATTAATTTCATCAATATCAATATAACAAAAATATAAAAAATAAAATTTAGTAAAATTATAAATATAATTCTTAAAAAGTAAATAAATTATATAATATTATTTTTTTGTTTTTCTCTTTCTTTTTAAAAGTAGTTTAGACATTTCACTTGAAATAAACCGTCACTGTCAATTTAATGATTTATAAAGTGAATCATTTCATCTTTCTAGAAGGTAACTAATAAAGTGGATCGCAACGAGTATAAAGAATAAAAATGTGTAAAATTTTAAATATATTTTTATATAATGAATTTAAAAAGTGATCTTATGTTATCTTTTCTCTCTCATGAAGGATAATTTTAAAAACAGTTTTCATATATTATTTAAAAAGTCACACCATGATTTATAAAATGAAACTAAATGAACTTTTTAAAATGTATTTTGTAAATTGAATCGAAGGGAGTATGTTTTATTCATTTAAGCATTGTAGAGTCCAATTGAGAATAGCTTTCTAAATGTGATTCTTTTCATCCATAAATTCCCAGCTCTTGACTTTGCTTAATGTAAATTGAATCATTTCTGCATGAGCCAATCATTATTTATTAAATTGCTATATATCTTAATAGTATTCTCATAGCTGTTTTGTTTTCTTGTGATGTTTCATTGCCCTGATGTTTTACTATGAGTGCTTTCTAGGGGTTCTGAGTATGGGGATTTCATTTTGTAAGTTGAATTGTTCTTGGAGTGTTCCCTGCGAAGTATTTAGCCAGGTTTTCACGGTAATGTCATCCATAAATCTGAGGCTAAAATATGTTTTATTTTTCAAATTAAATCACGGTTACAATCTTAATGCATGGATTTTAAAAAATATATATGTTCTATATGTTCACTGTCCTTAGGCCAACTTAGATTTTGCATTAAAATTGAAATGTTTGAGAAGTCACGGGATATTTGTAGTGTGAATCTTTTGGATGTGATATGTTGTTTCTGGTTCCAACTGCTACGATGTTATAGTGTTGTAGAGATCTGCAGACCTGCATTCTGCAGATTCGATTTCACTGTTGATAAAAGGAAAGAAAAATCGTGGCCTTTCTTTGCTCTACTTGCTCTCTACATACCCTTACGGTTTTCCTCGTTTTCATCTTCTCGATTGTACGGATGACAGGTGGGCCCTCACACATCCTGTTTGCTTCCATACTAGGTATGGACTGGACATCAATCTTACCTTCCCATTCCCCTTCCTATTCAATTTTTTCATTTTAACCGTTTTTATATCTTCATCCACACACATGCACCTATTATGTACACACACACACACATGAATTATGAGGAGGATGTTTATTTTATGAGTTATGAATAATATGATATTTTATAATAATTATTGTGCAGCTATTTTGAATCTAAGCAATTTATAACTAGAAAAAAATAAAAACAAAATATTGTAATAACGACCTATTCACTATAGTTTTGAAATGTTTAGATCAAGTCTTAATAATTTAATTTTTCATTTTTTATTATTTTAATATTAACTTTATAAAATATTAAGTCTGTTCAAATTTAATCAAGCAGTTGAGATCAAGAGTGAAAAAAGAAAAGGAAGTGCAGGGAATACTATCTCCTTATTCGTTGTTCTTTCACTGATATTGGTAACAAGACAAAAACAACTAGTGATAATTACACGAATCAAAAGGGTTTGGTTTCTCGTTGAAAACTATCAAAATCATTCCAAACCAAGAAATCAAGCACGCAAACTTTCTTCATTGTATAGTGCATATGATTTGAATTAAATCATATTATTTATAATTTTTAAATAGTATGATTTACTATGAATTTTATGTTATATATTTATTGATCCTCATTGTATGGATGTTGTTGGTTTGTCAAGATTTTTGTGAATATTAATTAAATCAAGAAATCTATTTAAATAAGTTATGAAGAAGTCTTATAATTTTCCTTTTTCATGCTTACACTGACATTACCTAACATTTGTTCAAAAGTTGCATATAAGTAAAAAAATCATAATCATCATCTTATTCCGTTCATTACTTAAACACCATACAACTATTTAGAGGCATCTCTTATTCTCTTGCATATCTGCATTTTTTTTTCTTTTACAGAAGTTATTTGATGACTAATACTTAAAAAAAATGAAACTAATGGCTAATTTGTTTATTGCAGACAGAAATATTGGTGTGAGCCAATACATGCGGTGCCTTTATTGTGTCCAAAAGTGAAGGCAAGCAGCCGAAAAGAAGGATCTATTATCTTTCTATCATGCTATCACTCAATAATTCTTAAAATATTTAATTAATTTGCATGTAATCAAACACAGGGTATGACTCACACAAATGAGTAATGACTTTGAATTGAGAGATCAAACTGCAGCTACTATGCTAGCCTTTTCTTTCTCAAAGTTTTCTAGATTTCAAGTTTACTAATGACACTAGATGAATCAAAAAGGCACGCTAGAATTAGACTCTCCCTGTTACAACCAAAAAGGTTCAAGTGCATGCAAGTACACATACGGGCAAAGCTAATAGCCAATGGCTTTACTAGATAAAATATGACAGTTAAAAATACTCCCATTTTCATGGTTCCAATATATATTCCTTGATTCTTTCAAGGATCTATTTTTGTACCACTTGAAAGTTTGATCTTATAATTCCAACTTCCATTTGATACTATACGATCATGACAAGAGGTAGTATATATCTCACTTTCAAGTAGTAATTAAACTGATACAACCGACAATTAGATCATATTGGCCAAAACAAGGGTTTATTCCAACATTAAGATGATCAACCAGAGCTGTTCAGAAGAGTGTGTAAGCCAAATCAACATCAAACGAAGGAAGTGATGGGGCATAGGTGGTTGATGAAGTAGTCGCAGCCTGGGAAATTATCCCACGGCTTGAACTGTCTGTATCTTCAACCTTTAATGGACTGTTAAATATAGCAGCAAGTTCACTGCAGCTCCAATCCCAGATTGTTTCTTGATCAAATTCATTTGGATAAGAGAAATCTCCAAAGCTTGAGGCCATGTTTGTCACAGATTCTTGAGATATCTTTTTGGCATTTGTGTCAGCAAGTGGAATTAAGGCACTATTGCTTTCTATGGAGTTCAGGCTGCTGCTTTCATTGGAAAAAGAAGATGAAGGTCTGAAACAGACATCAGGAACTATGCATTCCAGGTAACCTGATTTAGAATCACCATTGGAGAAGAAGAATAAGTTATCACCCACCTGAGCTGAAGAAGAATCACTTGCAGCATTAGTCCCAGCCTGGGAATAAGTTTCAGAAAGCTGAGGTGGACTGTTCTGATTGGTTGAGGGTTTCATCTGGGTAGTGTTAAAGAGTGACTGAAGCTGAACATCAAAGGGACAAAGAAGAGTCGTGTCAAAGGTTGTATTGTCAGTGTATACGAAGTTGGTTCTTGCTTGGCTTCCTTTCATGGACAAAGCAGCTCTGTCATAAGCCAAAGCAGCTTCTTGGGCAGTATCAAAAGTGCCAAGCCAGTGTCTTTCTTTAGTTGTGGGGTCCCTAATTTCTGCAGCATATCTTCCCCATGGTCTTCTTCTCACCCCCAGAAACCTTCCTGCTTCTCCTTGCTTTCTTCTTCCTCTTCTCTCACCCAAAGAAGATGGGTTGCTTTGAAGAAGAGACGAACCCATCTGGATTTTGTTTTCCGAGGCTCTAGAGCTGGGCATGGCTGCAAAAATGGCTGAGAAAAAGGTAATATAGGTTAGATAATGAAAGGGTAAGTCAAAAGAGTGTTGAAATCTGCAAGAGAACAGGATTGCAGAAGCAAGGAGCAACGTAGGTATGAGTATGGGCTGAAGAAGAAGAAGCTCTGTGAAGTCTTTATAAAGAGTATGTCAAGTAAGTACATTTTGCAGATGTCTTTCTGGGGAGATTTTTTTTTCCCCCCTTTTGAACAAAGTCTTTCTAGGGAGATTACTCTCCCGCTTTCCACCAACTTTTTGAGATTTGTATCTTTCTAATTTTTTTATCATAAATAAATTGATATTGAAAATTTTGCCAAAATTTAAAAATATATTTAATACATAATTTTTTATATAATTATCTAGCATATAATTTTGTTGAATTCGATTAAAATGTTATTAAGTCTGAATTAGGATAGTCTCCCTAACATGATTTTTTCTATTTAAACACTAAATCTTACTAATAATAACAGAATATCATCTCTGTCTGTGCTCATTAAAATAAATCTTTTCTTACTTGAAAACTAAATTGGGCCTACACTTTTCCTTTATGTTGTTAAGACATTACTTAGGAGAAAATAAATTATTAATCCTTATGCAGGCTCTCTTACACTTTTATCGCATGAATTAGCTTTTTTATTTTTTTATTTTTTATTTTTTATTTAAAGAGTCCCTTCCTACTATTCTTTCTACTTCCAATGACAGTCAAAAGAGTGATTTTGTTAATGGGAAGAGAAAAGCTATTAGAAACCACAATGAATAATTTACAAGAGACAGTGGCCAATTATTACAAGATTGAATCTTTGTGCATATCAGCTCACGTGTAAAGGACAGGTCAATTAACAAACTACCTGGAACTTGATTTGTTAAAACCCTATGCATAGGTTTCTGCACTAAGACAAGGCAATTATAGAAACAAAATATAAAAAAATAACACTCAATTTGACCCTATCTTTACTGTCTCAGCATAGTAAGAAAAGAAAAAGTTTTGATCTTCTGATGTGGTGGTTTGGCTGTCAAATGGATAGAACAGTGAAATTGGAACTGAGTCATACTCTTGAGCATCAAATGAAGTTTTGCCATTAATCTATTCAGAGTTTGTTATGAATCTTATATCAAAGAGTTTGATCCAAGAAATAGAACTTTTGTCTATGAACTACTCTTTTAAGACGATTTCTTTTTAGATTTATACCCATAACATTTGATAATTTTATTGAAATGTGGATGTAATGGAAAGTGTTATCTACAAAGTGTTTTAATCAGTAGAAGGTTGAATTGGGAAAAGAAAAATTATCAGGAAGTGAAGTATTTAGAAAATCTCACTTGAGAAGTGTCTCAAAAACATAGTTCTCATTATTCCTTTTGATTAATCTAGAATTCTTACAATAATCCTCAGTCCTCGCCCTCAATCTGATATGAAGCTTTGGAATAATATTTTACCTTAATTATTTATGAAACATGATAAAACTGGAAGCAATCTGATTACAAAAACGAGAGAATGAATGGAAAACAAAACAACTGCAAAGTTTGTCTGCACATATGTATACTATGTGTATATATTTCTCCTCGTTGTCCTAAAGCATTTTAATTTAAAAATATCAATGCTGGCTTGTCACAAGCAGATTCACCAGCTGGGTGCGTAATAAGCACATGTGAATCCTTGTTTTATGCGAAACAAATCAATCATTACATTGGGAATTTTTGGTTGCTTCATCATTTTCAAAGGGAGTAGTTAAAGCGATAATCTCTAATTAATCACACCTTAATTTTGTCCAGGAATTTCACACTCACACACATATGAAACTTCTTTGTCATGTGCATTGCAAAAATAAAGAAAAAATTTATTCCTGAAACGATGTATTAGTAAATTAATTAGTGTTTTAAATTTGTCACATATATGCACCATATTTGAATTTTTATTAATTTTTTTAATCGCATAGTCTTCCGACAACATACTATAAGTCCCAAATGGTGAAATGTGACTAGTAAATGACTATTCAGTCCGAAAAATTAAGAATGAAATTTATGATTATATTTTCTTCATATAAGAACAATCTTTCAAATGTTTGTTATAAACATAAGCAAGTCATACTAATTAGATGTGAGTGATAAGTCCCTAAAAATAAGTTTCATTATTTATAACTTATCTATTAATAATTATGAAAAGGAACAACTTTTATAAATGTGATATTTAATAAATATCATGAGTTACTATAATTTATTATTTCATGCATAGGATGAAAAAGTTCTAATTGTTTTTCTATTCCTAATATTTGATTTTTAATGTCCCAGAGCCATTCAGTCAAAAGGCTAATCAAAAGCTCAAACCGCGTTTCTTAGAGTACCTAAAACCGAACCGCCCCATAAACAATGACAGCGCTATATCATATTCCTTCTATTTAAAAATGTAAGATATTTTTTAAGGAGTTAAATATTTAAAAATATAAAATATTTTTAGTCTTTTGAGGTGTAATCATTACCTTTTTTTAAAAGTGTCCCTATTAATAATAACTTTATATTATTATAGAGTATTTAATAGGGATAAATATAAAAAGATAAGGTTTGTTGGAAAGTAGGTAAATACTTTATTGAGGGTAAAATTTGATAAAAAATACCTTATATTTTTAAATAAAAGGAGTATAGAATTGGTTATTGGGAGCAATTACACCCTGTTATTAATTCAAAATCGGCCCCCTTCAATTTTTCTTTAAATCATTAAAAATTAGACATTGTAGCTAAATAAATAAATTAGTAGCTTACAGGTTCCACATAAGACACTTCTAATATGTATAACTTATATTAAAGCAATTTTTTTTAATGTCATGAAAATTGAATTATTTTTTAAGTTTTGACATTACCCACAACACTCACAATTTCTTATATATACTCTATCTAGAAGCTTAGCTTGATCCAAAATATAAAGCATTAAATAATTTTTATAATTATTCTTTCAAGTTCAACTATACCCCTACTCTATTTATTACTCTTTTTTTTTTTAAAGATGCATTAGAATTTTAATTATCATCATCAAAGTACTTATATAAGGTATTTAATGGGGTAAAATTGAAAAGATGTAATTTTTTTTCAAGAAATCAAGGTTTCAACTAATATTTTTTAGAATTGTAAATTTACTGTCAATGTCCTATATTTTAATTAGGAAGGAGTAATTATTTTGCACACATTAACTAAAACATGGGCAAAAATGGAAATATATTTTAATGAGTACCAATGTCTTATATTTTGGTAAGGAAGGAGTAATTATTTAGCATACATTAACTAAAACATGGGTAAAAATGAAAGATATTTTTTTATCATGCATGGGTGTCTTCGTATTGGAAGCATTTATGTTTGAGGTACAATTAGCTATTAAATGCAAATATTTTTCTCAATAAAAATTTAAACTTTAATTCATCATGTTATGATAAACTAAATCTTTTCATTAGACCCAACTCCACCAATAATGAAGATATATTTCTTAAAACTACCAACATTTTAGGCTAATAACTCATAAAAATGTGTTCCATTATGTATTGGAGTGGGTATAATCAATGTTGTCAAACTCACAAATTTAAGTAAACTCATAATAATGATGTAAACTCGAATTATAAATTCATAAAATTTATTTTTATTAATAAATAACTATTAAAAGTATATGATTAAATACTTAAAATATAAAATATGATCATAATTTAATTTAAATGTATTTTAAATATAAATCATTGAAATTAAATTGATAGATTATCATACTCAACATAAAAATTTTAAAATAGTACAACTTAGGGCTTATTTGATTTCTTCTTTCATTTTAAGTTTTTAAAAAATATTTTACAATACAGTTTTTAAAATTATTTTTAAAAAAAATAAAATAAAAATCTATTCTGTTGGGTTAATTTTAAAATAGTTTTAGAATTAAAAAATCTATTGATAGTGATAATCACCAGCAGTTAATGGTGGTGTTTTATCATAATTATAGATTAAAGTAATTGTAATATTCAATAATCAACTATGATGTATCTTGAAAATGGAAAAAATGAAATGAAAACAACTTTAAAATGTTTCTATTTTTTGTTTTTAAAAATAAAAAATTTGAATTATTGTAAAAGCAATGAGATTTAAAATACTCATTCAAACAAGTTCCTTAACTTTTTTTTAAAAAAAATAATTTCAAAATAGAAATCAAACAAGCCCTTATTTTTTGTATTTTTTATTTTTTATTTTATTAATATTATTTTTAATTTTTTTAATTTTATTTTTACTTGAACCAAATCTTGTACCTCTTTTTTGAATCAAATTTTACATAATATATACTTTACTTGCTCAACTCGATAAAAAATTAATAAGTTTAATTGAATTTGTGTCTAATCTAATTTTATGTGAGTTGATACAATTTTATATAGAACTGTCAATTATGACTAGCCCTTGAAAGGTCAGGGCCTAAATAAACTGACCCTAATAGGCTCAATTATATCTCAAAGTTTTCTTTTATAAGATTCAGCCGTGGCCCTTAAGCCGTCAAGGCTTCGACCTTATTTTTTATTTTTACTTTTTTCACTTTAAAATTCTAAAAATATATATTTATAATTCTACAAAAAGTTATTACACATAAGATTAAATTTAGAAAAATAAACTTAAATTAATTTACACCACAACAAATATAGAAAACTTAAACATCTAGATCTAATATTAAATAGCAATATCAAAATTAATACCAATAAAAAACAAACTTAACTAACATTATCAGCTAAGTCTTAATGAATGAAAGAGGAATGGACAAATGAGTCTAAGGTATTCATTTCTTTTAGTTATATATTTAATTTTCTATTTTTTATATTAAAATTTAAAAAATAATAATAAAAGGGCTTAAAAGGGCTGGGCCTAACCCTAAAAGTTTGATCCTTTTAGTCCTTTCAAGCCGAATTACCATTTTTTGTTTTAAAGTAGCGACCTAGCTCTAGCTATTTTTGAACTTAAAAAGACTAGCCTAACAAACTTGACTCTAATTGACAACTTTGCTTTGCAGGCTAAAATTATAAAAATGATAAATTTGAAAAGTCAACTCATGACTTTAACTGAATTCACATTTAATTTGAGTTTATGAATGAGTTAACATAATTTTATAATTTAACAATATAAAAATGATAAATTCAAAAAGTCAATGCAAATGTTTGACGATAATAAGAATAATATTTGTTAGAAACAACTAAATTAGGAATGGTAAGGTAGTATTTGCTATTATTAAAAAAAAAAGGAATGGTAAGATAGTCATAAATGATTGAGGATTAACATTTATTTTATATAGCAAAAATAATAAACAATTCATAGGTTTATAATCAAGGTTTTATCTTTCTCCAAGTAAGTCTTGTCTTTAAATTATTCAAATGACCATCTTTAATTTAAAACTTTCAATCATAGTGTAATAACAATATATTAAAATAATCTATACATTTTTAATACTAGTCCAAACTACATGATGATAAAGATAAATAGTGAAACTTGTGAAGTGGACCTCCTAAATCATAGTTGAAGGAAGGGGAAAATTAAGTGGGAGACGCTAAAACGAGGAACATATATGTATATTCTTACAAAATATCACCCTTAATAATATAATTATTTTTTTCCAAATTAATCATATTTTTTTATATTTATTCATTTTAATAAGATATTTTATTTTAAAATAAATATAAAGTGACCTTAAAAAAATAATAATTATATTTTAAAAAATTAAAAATATTTTACATTTTAAAATATTAAACCCCTGAAAAAATTGCATTAACGGAAGGAGCATATATCATAATGATTCAATTCGACCATACTCTATGTTTGAGATTAATTTTTCATTTTATTTATTAAGAATCAAAGAATGGATTACTTTTGAATCTCAGACCCTTTGACTCTTCCACTAAACACTCTCTCATGCGGAAAGGGAAAGAAAACGATGTGTCGGCTCTATAAATATTTATATACCAATCAAAAAAAGTATTTACTCCCACCACTCTCCCCCACCCCCACGACATTTTTTGCTGAATTATATTTTTAATAAATTAATTAATTATTTTTAAAATCATACATTTTTTATGTCTATTCTATTTAATATAGTATCTCAGTTAGAAAACTCTGTTATAATTACATTTTTAATTAAAGATATTTTTTTAGAAAAACCTTATTAACTTCACATTGCAATGCTCAAAATATCTTTTACTCCTTCAATCTCAAACTATAAAACACTTTAAGGAGAAAGGAGTGAAGGGAAGGGGATGAGAGGGGAGGATTTTAATATTATCTTGTTTGGTGTTGTTGGAGTAAAGGGGAGAGGCTTTTAATAATCTTTTGTTAGTTTAGGAGGGGAGGCAATGACTAATTTATTATTATATCTTTATATATTAATTTAAAATTTTTTAATTGTTTCTTGTAGAAAATAATTTTATACCTCAATTTAAATTACATAATTTTTTTTTTAAAATTCACTCTCATCCTATTATATTGTCAATATATGAATAAAAAAATTAAATCAATAATTATAATGATAATAATTTATAAAAAATTAAATAACTCTCTTAAACATATAATAAAATATGATAAATTGTAATTTTTTTAAAAAATCTGATGAAGTCAGTTAAAGTCTGGGAGTGAAATACAATCTAATATGAGGGAATTTTTTTTAGCTATGAATATACTTAGAATATTAAAAAATAAATAAAGGCAAAATAGTCAAAAAATTTAGCTCCCCTCCCCTCCAAAAATTCTTAACCTCTAAAATCCCCCAACCAAACACACCTTTAGAAAAGATTCAGTATTCTAAAATATAATTTACTTTGATAAAAATAAAGTTTTATTAATGATACTTTTTAATATTATCATTTTCATATATTTTCTCTCTTCAATATTCTTTCATTAATGGAGTATTAAATGAAGGTTATTTTTAAAAGTTTATGTTTTTTTCTTGAAAAAGAGAGGTTATAAAGTGTATTTAATGAGCTTTATTAAAAAATAAAATTTTATTTAAAAGTATTTTATAATTTAAAACGACAAAAATACTAATTTTTATCATCTTATCTCATAAAAAATATTTAAGGGGGAGAGTATATCACAATGCTCATAGTAGCACCGAACTGTTATTTGAGAAAAATACGCCAAGACCTTTAGGTTTCAATCTTTATTCTTCACACTAATTTGCATATTTTGATTTTATTGTTTTTGAATTTTATCGCTTAAAATTATGTTCATTTTATGATTATTTTTTAAAAATAAGTTATGAATACAGAAACGTATTTTCGAGATTCCATGTAGCGTGGAACATATATTAATTATAAAAATTTTGGATTATAATGGTGTTTCAAATACCATATTTTTTTCGTTTGTTTCCAATCAACTATCATTATTTTAATCATAATCATATAAATATTTTAAATTTTTACAACTTTTTAAAGTTAGTATTCAATCTTCTATTGATATAGAACATTGGGGGGGGGGGGAAGATAGAAAAGTCATTATCTAAGCTAAGAATAAAATAGATAAAGACATTTTTTGAAATGAGTTGCAAATATTTCATTATTTTGTAAAAGGTTTTATATTAAGAATCAACTCTTTTGTAAATAAAAGTATAAAACTGGAGGGAACATTTTATTAAAACACAGAGTTTAAGGTAAGTTTTATTATTCATAAAGTGTATGAATAATATGACTTTCGATAAATTATACTCACTTCAGACTCTATTATAAGGAAAAACCTTTTTGATGGTTCTCAATATAACACTCTATTGTCTAAAGTATGATAATTTATTTTTTAAATGTGGTTTGTTTTAATATTCCTTAAGTAAGTAAATAACCTCATAATTAGTTTACCAAAAAATGAAATAAATAACCTCATAATTATTAAACAACCTCTTATAATTAATGACCGTCACATTAAAGGCAATTTTAAATTTTAAAAACGTTAATTAATTTTAATTAAATTTTTTAATCTATACAATTATTAATTTTTTTTATGACAAGGACAAGAGAGTGCATGTTGATTTTCTCAAATACCAAGGGATTTTCTTCCACGATAAGACAATATTATGATTTTTAAGGGACAGACATAGTGGAAGTGTGTAAATTTAAGGTGGCCCGGAATTTAGGGAAAAGATAATAATGTTTTTCATAGGAGTTTGAAAGAACATAAACCAAACCACGTTGAACAAATTGTTTAGTGTTTAATCAATCACTTTCACTTTTTGGTTCAATTCTAACTTTGTCCCTTTTCACTTCTCTCTTCCTTTCCCAAACCCCAAGCTCCCTCCTCACATGATCCCTACTAAACTTTCCCTCATCACAACTTGGTCTTTTCTTGGGTTTTTTTTTTTTTCAACGTTTAATATAGTAAAATTAGGTGGGTCTCTCCTGTGAGTGTGTCAAATAAATTTTATTTTTTTTAAAAAAAGTGGTGTATTTTTTTGATTCTTAAGCAATTTAATTTGCTACAAATTTAATATTGTAGTTTCTTTGTTATTGTCGTTTGTTTGAATTTGTTGCCTTTTCCCCCGACCACCTCTGTGAAGTCGTTTTCTTGAATGTAATTTAATGACTTCCCTCATAATTTAGATGACCAAGATTTGTTTAAAATCATTCAATTCTTTTTTTTTTTTATTCCCACAAACATATACAAATCTTTGGCAGTGCACTAGTCTTATGTGTCATAGATAAAACCCAAAACTCCTATAGTATTAGTGTACATCAAGTGGCGCTTGGATAGATAAGTTTGAATTTAAATTTGATTTAAAATACATATATTTAAAAAAATTGTTTTAGCATAAAAAATCCACACCAATAAGAATGAATTGCAATACTTGTAAGACTCATCACTCATCCACGTGTTTTGCTAGCAGAAAGAAAGAAAAGATTGTTGATATTTGAACAAAATTAAATCCAAATCCATACAAATTTCCTGTATCCCAATAACGATTTTGGTTCAAATTAAATCTAAATCTAAATTCAAATCCCCACTAATCCAAACACAACATTTAAGTATTATGGTTGTTTTCGTTCAAGGACATGTCCATAATTATCTAACCCAAGTTTGATTAGATGCTCTGAATTTACCTCGCTATACCTTCATTTTTAGACGAAAAGAAAAGTGGGGAAATGAAGAACAAATCCCCAAGAGAAATAGCCTAACCCTGTGAATGCTTTGATTAAAGTACTCTACACTGATAACAAGGGGAGAGCAAAATTTATTAGATTCAAACGTGTCAGTTCAAGTGCGTTTCTTACTTTCCCTTATATTTGCACTTTGAAATAATTTAAATCCCAAATAAAGCATTTCACTCTACATCACATCACTGTGCACCTGCATAAAATAGCAACGTGAGGCCTCATCTCATTGCTGTCTCCTGAGTCCTGATCATAATTTCTTCACCCAAAACGAAGACAAAAATATGGGAACAATACTCAACAGAACCTTCTTCCACTTCCAAGAAAAATTCGGAAAGAAAAGTTCTCAAAGTGAAAAAGATTTGGTGTTTCGAAGGAAGGGTTGAGGGGAAGAAACATAAACACATGATCAATGAGAGTGTGAGCAGAATTCTCTCATGACAAAGAAAACTGAAGCATAAATAAGCTCAAAAAACTCCAGAAACTGGAGATGTGGATGCAAAAAACTCCAGAAACTGGAGATATGGATGCAGTTTCTCAAGGTTGGCCACGGTTTATTCAAGATCAATTGGATGGCCATGAAAAGACTGAGATTATCAACCCAAAGATAATAGGCACTAATGTGTTCTAGACCTGGGGAACAGGGATAACTGAAAAACAAAACCTGTTTGAGGAGTCCCTAGAAGGACGATGTCTCCTTTAAGAATTGAGATAAAAAGGAATAAAAAGGAGGTATGCATTCACATTGCTTAGCTTGGGGCATGAGAGACAGTGCTGGTTGTTGTGATAGTCGTAGTTGCTACCGGAACAGAACTTTGGGCGGATGTTTGAGCACTTGATTCAGAAACGTTTCCACTAGTTGACAAAGCCAAGCCAACTGATCCAGTGGCTGTGCTCATTGAAGAAGAAATTCTGAATGATCCAGGCTCCCGGCTAGAACCAGGGTTACGTTCAGGCTGCAACTCTGATGATGAGGACGATGGAGGACGAGTACTGATGGAAGAACCCACAGGAATGGATACAACTGGCATATTAACAAGAGAAGAAGCAGATGGACTGTAAGTCAATGTTCCCATAGAATGATCAAACCTGCATGCAGGACCAAACTTGCATACTCCTCGCTGCACATAGTGAGTGCAAGGCGGTGCACCCTGATTATCAAAACACTGACATGAGATGGAAGGCTATGCAAGTAATTAATAAAGCAACCAAATGAATAATTTATACAGATATAACTTTAGTCACAAACCTTAAGGGCATTGCATGATATAACTTTCTATTCTTTTCACAAAAGAACTTTCTACATATGCCGTATGAGAGCAGACTCTAACACTAGGGAAAAAATTAAACAGAAGTAAAGCACCTGTGCAATTTGAGACAAAATCAGCTTAGACTCTGACAGTCTGCAAGGGAAAATGAAACAGCTGAGTCTAGACTGTTAAGGATATTAAGACTCATACCTCATCCTAGCCTCCCAAAAAGTAAAACGGGGCACAGTTTTTATTCAACTAATCAACTATGTTTGCATTTCAACAGGCTCAGATTCAGCCTTGTAAAATTTTATTTATTAGCATTTCCGTAGTTAATTCTACCAATTCAGCTTCTTTCACTCACCTAAATGAACCTCAATTACTTGCTCCTAGATACATGCTTTATATTAGTTAATTCTACCAATTGTCAAGGATAAGTTGTCATAGAGCACATTATCTTAATCTAGTAAAGACTGTCATTGAGTCACAACACTCTTGAAATTAAACCAAAGAACAGAAAGTTCAATATAACATAAGGAAATAACCCAGTGTGAGGAATCCAAAAGCTTGTCTGAGACAATTGAATACAAACAAGTCCCCAACAAAAAGAGAGGACTCAGAAGACGACATTCATAAGAAAGACTCAAAAAATTCCAGAATAAAATTATCATCATAATTCTTAAATACATTCTTAAAGCCAAGATAAGTCCACACATCAACTGTCAAGTAAGCAGTTTGCTAAAAAGCCAAATAATCTGCAGATTGAAATGTGACAAAAAGGCTTGAGACAGCCCTATTTTGGTCCAAAGACACTGAAAAATCTCACTTTGGAAATAGAAAACCATCAATCATCAGATCCCCTACAATTTTTAGAACTCCTGAATAGAAATCAGAAGGCCGTTACAATTTGCAAAAACAGTGCAGTATATTATACTGCAGAGAACACAAATTTCAAAAATTTTAATGACCAGTTATATACTATGTAGTGATAATTATATCTAAAAGCAGATACTCTGTATGTGGCTTATATATTAAAGGATACACATTTGTGTTTAGGCCTGTCATGTAAATATTTCTGACAATGAGCATGCAAGAACTTGACATGTGCATGACATTTACAGTCTAAAGTTTAGTGACACATCAGCATGAAATCATCAGAAGTATGATTGATCATACCATTACATAAGACACGAGAGGGGGTATAGGATTTTTACCCCGTTATCAATAGGAATCATATGCAAAGCTTAATGCAATTTTATGAAGGCCAACTACTGAGAGAAACTATATTATGTTTGAACAAAAGAGAAAGGTTGTTTGCTCTTTAGATTATCTCATCAATGGTAACCTGCCTACCACTTTTCTAAAAACCACCTTGCACTTAGAGGAGCAGAATCCCTATGATAAATATAGGAAAGAATCTCTATAGTTTAGCAGAAAGTAATAGCAAAAAAATATGAAGATTTGTAATTAATTGAAGGTCAAGAATAAGAAGAAATAATTAATGACCCCCAAGAGAACAAGAAACATGTAAGGAAATGGTTGTCAGAAGCTTTCATGAAGGATAAGAGTATCCCTTCACAGTAATTATACATTAATGAAGGAATTCCCCAATTCCCCAGCAGTGGTTGTAGAGAACTCAAGAAATCTAGTGCGGCAACAAAGTGCGACGGAGCACCATTCAATGATCTGTGTCTCAATGCCATAAACTCAGTATATCTTATGAGTTGCCACATTAAAAAATATTTACAGAAAGTTTCAGGCTTTCATGGTTTCATCCAAGTCAGGGTATCTATCAACATGGAGGGTTCAAAGAGGAAGTACTGGTAGAACTTGCCCCTTTGGGAAAATGGACCTCAGTTTCTAAGAAAATACACTTGAATATCGATAAAAACACATCTGAGGTTAAATCACAGCTCAAGAACAAGGGATAGCAACCAAGTGGAATTCTACTCTAGTTTGTTGTCAATGACTAGAGTTTAAAAACCAAAAATAGTATATCTGTGGAGCAAACTTCAAATCTTGCATAAAGAACCCATATAACATGTTGCAACAATAAAAGGTCAATTTTGTATGTATCAAAATTGCACATAAATTTCCCACGGAAAAAAATTGCATAAAAATTTTTCATCACTGGTTATTGGACAATGAAAAAGTTTTACCCAGATTGATAGAAAAGGCAGAAAATTAAATTCATAATCCAACATGAGGCATCATGGAAAAGGAATTGAGGGACAGTAGTTACCGGGCGCAGAGGAAGACCCTCAGGACTAAGGACCACATTGACATTGGTACAACCAATTCAGGTGGATGATGATACCTACAGGAAGGACCAAATCTACACTCTCCCGTTTCTCATGTAATGCTGACATTCTGGCTGACCTGACCTGGTCTTTCTGGTAATGAATGTTGTTCTCTCTGACTAGTGTTGAGGGACCAAATGCGGAACCTGCAGGTTGATAAGGTGAAGTATAGGCAGGTGCTGATGAAGGTAGCTGAGTATTCCCATAAAGGTGTGTTGAACCAACATTTGATGGAGTACTAGATGGAATGCAGGGCTTGTAGGAGCCTGTGTCAAGAGCTTAAAAACATAAACAAATGCACTTGTAATTTGCTGAAGCTGTCAGAGGAAAAGTTTGACCCACCTGATAAGGATTCCAACCTGAAAAAAGGGACATGGGACATTACCACAGCCCATAAGGACTTTGGACTAATGACCCTGGTAGTAGAGGTGGTCTTGCAACCATTACACCATATTGTTTGTGATGAAGGACCAGATGGAGGGCTGCACAGTTGGATAGAACGATTGAAGGTACGCGGACAGGTAGAGAAGAGACTTGGGGAACTGATAGAGGTGCAGGAACTTGAACACCAGCAGGCTGTGGATGATGGAATTTACAAGTTGCACCAAACTTGCATTGTCCTGTTTTCACATAATACGAACACTCTTTCTCATCCTGTATTAGTTAAAATGTAAGTTTGGGACAAACTCTTGCCATGGTTAAGAAAAATCAATCCAATATTTAAAAGATAGAAACAGTATTGGTGAAATAATGTTGTACAAAACGGTCGAAATGGGTATCCATAACAATTAAGTGATACAAGAGCAACGCCTCCTCCCTGCCTAGGATGGTGGTACTTACATGAAGCACCGAATTTGCAAGATCCTGTCCTCATATAATACTGCATTTTTAGTAAGTAGATTTAATTAATACTAAAGGCCAGCGATCAATTTGACGACAGATAGGCAAAGTATAGCTAAACTTACTCCCCCCCTTAGGATATACAAATGACTGCTGAGTATCAAATTTTGTATGACCAATATGAATGACAATGTCAAAAGCAATCATGTATAATGTTCTCCCAGAGCATATATAGGCAGAACCAGATCGAGTACCTGACATACAGGGCTGGCCTACTCGCTCTGGATACTCCATGCCAGTCCTCGAAGCTCCAAAAACCTAAACAAGACATAGATATATATCAGTTTATCACCAAATTATGAAAGGTCCAGCCAGATTGTCAAATGCAAACATTTAGTCTCAGTTGAGTAAATTTAGTTGATTTTGTAATGATCCTAACAGTATCTTGAAAAGCCATAGCCCGAAGGCAACCCACAAGCAATGAAAAACCTTAAGATGTTGTGAACTCAAATCTTACGTTCCGCTCATGAGTCATAACAAATATCAAACCAAACTGAAGCGAACGATCACATCAAAAACCAAAGATGTCCTTTAATAGAAAAGTCGTCCGGTAATCAACT